GGTTAAGATCGGTCCATTTTTCACCTAGCCCACACACAACTGAACCCGACGAATTGGGCTTTTAAGTTCATAATGTTTAATATACTCGTATCTCGACAAAAAGCTGCAAAACCAAGTTCTATACTAGCCTTGATGACTCTCATGAATTTTATAATTATAGGCTCTCATTTGACCATAGCCCCCTTTAAAATTTGACTTAAATGTCCTCAATTTTATTCAACGATAAACGGCTTAAGTATATCTGAGGCAAGGTACAATTTAACCTAATGCTCTATTATGAAAACTAAATCACATTTTATTTTTGTAACTTACTTGTTTTAAAATATCTTTATTTCTTAATTAGATATTTGCATTTAAGCGATTTTCGGAAGTGGTCCTTATTTGGGAGCTGTGACTAATTATGGACCGATCCGGAAAAAATTTCGCAGGGTGTTTCATATCTACTTTAAACATTAATGACTAATATTATACCGATATCTTCATTCAGTTATAAAATATGTGCGTTTACGTGGTTATCGGAAATGGGCCTTATATGGGATCTATGCCCAATTATGGACCGATCCAAAATACATTTTGCAGAGTAATATATGTATACACAATACATATTTATGTTGAATATTATTTCAATATCTTTTTTTGAAAGTGGACCATATATGGGAGCTGTAACCAATAATCGACCTATACAGATCTATGTTGATAATATGATTTCTGTTCTTATTATATTCGTATGAGCAAAATTTCGTGTTGATACCGATATTTTTGCCGACGTTATTAACGATAAATCTATTTCCGAGAATATGTACCTTTGTATGGGGGCTATGAGAAATTTTGAATCGATTGTTTTGAGTTTGAACAGTTTTGATCCCTGGGTAAAGAAAATAACGTGTGACAAAATTCATTCCATTATCTTTAGTAGTTTCTGAGAAAACTACTCAAGAATTAGAAAAGAAAACTTAATCTTTTTCGAGGTAGTCTGAAATTTTTACTCATAACTTTTTACGTTGTGGACCGAATTGGCTGATTTTCAATACCAAACTGCTTAGGACAATAGTGAATATTTTCAGTGAATTTGGCTGATTTATTTTGATTAGTTTTAACTACTTGAATATGAAAAAATTACAATATTCATTCTCCATTAATAATTATTAATTATATATATGTATATATACATATATACAATTAAATATATATATATATATATATATATATATATATATATATATATATATATATATATATATATATATATATATATATATATATATATATATATATATATATATCGGTATATTTGATCAATTAGAAAAGTATTAATATAAAAGTAGCTGGTGGAGGGTATTTAAGATTCGACTCAGCCGAATATTGCACTCTAACTTGTTTTTTTATGATTTCTTATATACACAAAATATCCTTATTCCGATATCTTTATTTATCAATAAAATATGCGATTTTCTGAAGTGGATCTTATATACAAGATATGAACAATTATGGACCGATCCGAAAAAAACTTATTTGTATAGCCTATTTATACCCTACACCACTTTAGTGAGGAGGGTATATTGGGTTTGTAACGCACAATAATATTGGTCCTATACCCACCTTAAAGTATACCAATCGGCTTAGAATTTTCTGAGTCGATTTGTCAATGTCCGTCCGTCTGTCCGTCCGTCTGTCCGTCCATGTAAACCTTGTAACCAAACCATAGGTGGCAATTTTGAAGATAATTCAATGAAATTTGGTACATGACCTTCTATGATACCAGGAACGAAGCCTATTGAAAATGGTTAAGATCGGTCCATTTTTCACCTAGCCCACACACAACTGAACCCGACGAATTGGGCTTTTAAGTTCATAATGTTTAATATACTCGTATCTCGACAAAAAGCTGCAAAACCAAGTTCTATACTAGCCTTGATGACTCTCATGAATTTTATAATTATAGGCTCTCATTTGACCATAGCCCCCTTTAAAATTTGACTTAAATGTCCTCAATTTTATTCAACGATAAACGGCTTAAGTATATCTGAGGCAAGGTACAATTTAACCTAATGCTTTATTATGAAAACTAAATCACATTTTATTTTTGTAACTTACTTGTTTTAAAATATCTTTATTTCTTAATTAGATATTTGCATTTAAGCGATTTTCGGAAGTGGTCCTTATTTGGGAGCTGTGACTAATTATGGACCGATCCGGAAAAAATTTCGCAGGGTGTTTCATATCTACTTTAAACATTAATGACTAATATTATACCGATATCTTCATTCAGTTATAAAATATGTGCGTTTACGTGGTTATCGGAAATGGGCCTTATATGGGATCTATGCCCAATTATGGACCGATCCAAAATACATTTTGCAGAGTAATATATGTATACACAATACATATTTATGTTGAATATTATTTCAATATCTTTTTTTGAAAGTGGACCATATATGGGAGCTGTAACCAATAATCGACCTATACAGATCTATGTTGATAATATGATTTCTGTTCTTATTATATTCGTATGAGCAAAATTTCGTGTTGATACCGATATTTTTGCCGACGTTATTAACGATAAATCTATTTCCGAGAATATGTACCTTTGTATGGGGGCTATGAGAAATTTTGAATCGATTGTTTTGAGTTTGAACAGTTTTGATCCCTGGGTAAAGAAAATAACGTGTGACAAAATTCATTCCATTATCTTTAGTAGTTTCTGAGAAAACTACTCAAGAATTAGAAAAGAAAACTTAATCTTTTTCGAGGTAGTCTGAAATTTTTACTCATAACTTTTTACGTTGTGGACCGAATTGGCTGATTTTCAATACCAAACTGCTTAGGACAATAGTGAATATTTTCAGTGAATTTGGCTGATTTATTTTGATTAGTTTTAACGTGAGAGTGTTTGAGGCAGACAGACGGACACAGCTAAATCGAATATTTTTTGGTGTTACACAAGGAATGACAAACTTATATATACCCTCTATCACCACTGAAGGTGGTGGAGGGTATAAAATCTATTTTGTTACTTAAAATTTGTCTATAATTAATCGAATATTAGTTTTTGTCCTTATAAGATAACGCAAACTTGTTCTCATCTATAGTCAAAAAAGTTCAACGGCCGTTTCAAATCTTTAATATAAGTTAAAAAAATTTTAGGAAATTTCATGGGGATTTATGGACAATAGATAAGGCTATTAAACGGTCAAAAATTAGATCAATAATACTTACAGTTTAGCTGCACCTGCGATTTAAACTTGGCGGATTTCGAAGAATCGCATTTTTTGTAATATTTAAGAGAATACGTATTAATTCTTTACTGTTGTACAGTTTAAATAAATTATTTCCAGAGTATTATAGTCCAAAATATAAATCCGAAGTTTTATTGAAATCGGACATTCTTAACAATTAAACTGTGGAGTTCAAAGGTCAAATTTTGCAATATTTGTGAATTCTCAGTGTACTATATCGAAATAATATTTATTTGTTGGACATATTTACCAAAAACGAATTTTTCTTCTTAAAAGAAATCACTAGATTTGTTATCAATAGTGAAATAAATTCTAAAATCGCTAGAATTGATAAGAAAATAGCTAAATTAACAATATTGGTAAAGTGCTTTTATTTGACAGCGCTGTCATTAGGGTACTATAGTTGAAACGAAAAGTCGACTTTTTGGATATAGTTAGAAGTCGACTTTTTAAATTTAATGAAAAGTCGATTTTTCGACTTTTTTCATTTAATTAAAAGTCGACTTTTAGACTTTAAGTATTTTATAAATAATCGACTTTTTCCAACTTTTCGACTTTTTCCGACTTTTCTGTTTTTTGTCGACTTTTTGACTATTTACGACTTTTTTAACTTTTTTCGACTATTTTTTTACTTTTTTCGCTTTTTTCCGACTATTTTAGAGTTTTTGACTTTTTTCCACTTTTTTCGACTATTTTTGACTTTTTATATTTTTTTTCCGACTTTATTCGACTTTTTTCGACTTCTTCATTTTTTTCGACTTTTCGACTTTTATTTACAAAGTCGACTTTTTTCACAGACGATAGTCGAGTTATCGACTTATTTGGAACAAAATAGTCGACTTCGACTTTGCGAGTTTTTTCGACAAAAAGTTGATTGTTCGATTATTCGAAAGTCGATTTATAGAACCCTAGCTGTCATCACATATCATTTTAGTTCTTGTTCGAGGCTAATTCAGAAAAGGTGGTGTTATTCATTCAGCTGATTATTTTTTTCTTCACTTGACTAGTACGCACTAATGTCAGAGTTTGTTATTGTTTACATTTTTATATTTAAAAATTTCCATTAAAACAGAGAAAAACTTCGTTAATATTTTGAATAATATATGTAAAAAATCTTAAAATTCCAAGCATTTTGTAAATATTTTTCGTATATAAATAATGAATAATTGGTACGCATTTACAAACTTAATATAACAATAATGTTTTTTTCTATTAAATGTTAACAAATTAAACAATATTTTTTTTATGTTTTACATATAAACTTTGTAGTTAACGCGATTAACGAAAAAAATTCTGTTCCGGAACATTTTATATAAAGAATCCACATGAGATATTTACCCGACTGGAGACAGCTGTCTTCTACGTTATGGTCAAATTTTCAGATCTAAAAAAGAAATTGTTTTATATATATACTGTGTATATAATGTGATTAACTAACAAAATTCTGTTCCGGGACGCTTTTTATAATAAAATCCATATGAGGTATTTACCCGTCCGGCGGTAGCTGACTACAACGGGTAAATCTTCCATTTACAACAAAGATTCTTTCATTTGGTATATAATTTTTCCACAAATTTTTACATTTTTATGTTTATTTTTCCCAAAAATATTAATTTTACATAATTTGACTAAATATTTTCATTAAATGAATTCGCCGCAGTTATTATTTTTGACATCAGTGCGTACCAAATGCAAAAAAAAATTTCCTGAAAATTTTTGTTGTTGCCGAACTGCCACCACCTTATCTGAATTCGCCTTGTTCTTGTTCTTCTTGTTTTGACACGAATCTTTTTAGGAACGTGGCATTTTTGGCAACTATCTTTAAATTTTCAATTTTGTTTCCTAGTTTTATGTCTATATGGACAGCAGGCACTTATAACTTAAACATATTTTTAATTCCAAATTGTTACCGTGAACGATTTTTTAATTTTGATTAAGTACTTTATTCATTAGTTATTTAAACACATTTTTTCGAAGGAAACATGTCTTCTGTCCTTCATATGCTGGGTCTACATGGACTCGATGAAGGTTTTAATCTGGTAATTATTTTACCTGTGGTTATAGTTATCGTGGCGATATTGTTTTTATTAAACTTAAGTGTCCGTAAATCAGCAGACTTCAAAAAGCCACAGACACAAAATACAAGAAAACAAAAAGTGACAACAAATAAACAAAATGAAGAAAAATTAAATAGTAACAAAAGAGATAAAAAAAGCAAGGAAAAAATAAGCCCTGCCAAGACATCAGATGGAGAAACAAATAAAAAACAGCCAGTTGCAAACGAGAAGTCACCTAAAAAAAACGTTCAAACCAAAAAGCAACAAGTTACCAGCAACAATGTTAATAAGAGCGCCAAGAATTCTCCAACAACCAAAACTCAAACGAATATTAAGAAACAATTAGAAAGTTTTGTCAGTAAAGAGGAGGAAGGAGAATGGCAAATGGTTACAACTAAAAAACAAAAGAAAATCACAAGTGAAGAAACAATTGAGATAACTACAGCATCCAAAACTAATAAAAACACTCAAAAAACACCAGAGAAAACTAACAAAGCAAATAAAACGAAAAAAGTTAAAATAATGAATGAAACCGCTGACGTATCTTCAACTATTGTTGACCAAGTTACACAGTCGGAGCCTTCTGTTCCAGCTGTGATAACCGAACTTCCTCATACTTCTACTAATTCGACAATTAAACAAAAGAAAGCTCCAGTTCCTGAATCAACAACTGAAGTTAAGTTTGATAATTCTACTGTACAAAGTACACCTTCTGCTAACGTGGCATTTGATGAACTTGGAGGTAAGCCTGTATTAGCATAGTTTGTTTAATTTATACTTATAACTTCTTAAATAAAAAGGTATATATTTTCCAGAAAATAATAATTTGTTGATAACAAAACTGCGAAATTTCCAGATTTTTTTCAAAAATTCTATTTAAAAATCTTGTAATTAAAAATTCAATTGTTTTTAAAAGATTTGAATTAAATAGGTATGTACATGTACAGTGCCGGCAAACAAGAAATTTTTTAAGTGGAGAATCTATTTTTTTTTTATTTATTTTATTTATTCATACCCAGCAAAAAGTTACATGACAAAGATGTTGTTCAATCAGAGGTGCAAGTGATGACGAAGTGGTTCGATTTAGGTGAAACATGAATGATTTTAACAATAGCGTGTTATTGGAGATCATGTGTTTATGCGAGAATTTCGAATAATCGAACCAATGCAATTCCAATGATTCGAAAACGATGTTTCATTAATTCAAGCTATTTGTTTTGTATGTATTTTTGGAGGACATTTCATATATTTTTAAGGAAAATATTATAATAAATTAGGGAAAATATATAAAATAATATTAATAATCAAAAATATTTCTAACAACACATGAATTTCATTTGATTAAAATAACAATCTGAATTAATTTTTGAAGTTTCAAAGAATTTTTTTAACTGCGGAATAGGTTGAATTTTGGAAGGCATTTAGAATGAGTTGTATTAGCACTGTTATTAAAGAAGTCATGAAAATTGCATTCACTTTGCACTACTGCAAAATTTTTTTGCTGGGTATACCCAGCAAAAAAAGTAGTAAATGCATGGGTTGAACTGATAATGAACTGGTTCATATTTAGGGGAAACATGCATGATTTTAACATTAGCGTGTCATTGGCATGCATGTGTTCGTATTTGGAAAAATAGTTCGCCATTTAAATGAGTTCTTATAACCAATGAATATTTGATGATTCTCAAGCGAATTTTCATTGGTGCACTATATTTATTTAAAAATGCATTAATAATGGTATTTCGATTTAATTATCAATATTTAAATAATTTTTTTGTGTGATATTGATAAAAATAAAATAAGATAAAACATAACTAACTGATTTTTATTGGATTTAAATTCATGCAGAGGAAAAATACCCATTGTGTTTTAAAATCCGTTAAACGGTCTTGGTTTTTTCCTTCTCTTATTAATGTTAAAATGGACTTAATATTACTAGGTAGGTAGGTACCTACAAAAACAAAAATCTAATAAAAAAATTAATGTAATTTTTAATATTTATTGTATGAAATGCACGTTTTCGTTAAATCTCCTAAGAGAATACCAAATTATAGTAAAATATTACAATTCCTATAGTGGAGTTACATGAGTGAATTTGGGTGCATTTTTCATGCCTTCACTGATGACAAATTTATTAGAATTTAGGCATGTATTTAAAACGCATTAAATAGAATACGTACAAAATAAATCATGAAAATATCCCTTCTTCTTTAACAACTTCAAATTTTTTTGCTGGGTAGTAATATAAAAGCCACCAAACTATTAGGTAGAATTTAGTGTTTATAACCGAAAATTTAAAATTTCTAGAAAACCGATTTGTCGGTTAACCGAGTATAAAAAAGTCATTTTACGAAATATTATTATTATTAATACTTAATAAGATGTTTGTACTTTTTAGTACATTTATATATCATAAGAAAACAAACTTATACAGATCTGAAGATATTATTGATTCGTTAGATATATTGAAGTAGTCATAAGAGGTATAAATTGAGTCAACAACTGAAGTTAAGGTTGATAACACTATGCGACAAAAATAAATACTTGGGAAGTAATACTATTTTTCTGAAAGGTGGATCCGAGAAGAACAAGGATATGTTTTTGAAATTTGTTTATTTAACAATATTCAATAACCTAGCCTATAGGCCATAAGCGGTTACAAATTTCTACTTTACAATAATTCTTCCAACACAAAATACATAATTATATAAAAATAAAATTACAACTAAATTATTTAAAAAGATAATATACTATATAAAATAACGATAGGACAATTAAATTGTACCGCATTGATTATAAATAAATTCCTACATAATTTGCAATCAATCAAATGTAATTCAAAGAAACAAAACAGGTTAAAATAAAGAAAAGAATATATAGAAGTCATAAACAATCCCAAAAATGAACTCACAGAACCAATCAATATGTCATACAGCTACTATATGGCAAATAACACTCCAGACTGTAAAGGACATAGGTAATACAAATCAGACAGAAACATGAAGCTATAAAACACCTATCAGTTGAACATTTCTGAAGAAATATAAGACAATTGGAAGAAAGTTTTAAACCATCCCAAAAAATATCAACTCATGTAAAAGAATTTAAATACCAAAATTACCAGTCAATTACATAATAAAAATTTCAAGACTAACTTTAAAAGAACAAAATGAAAAGACAATTCTATAAGAGTAAACATTTTTTTTTACATATAATTTATTTAAACTGTATTTCAAGCTTTTAATTTTTTGGACCTGAATACATGTATGCCAGCATTCATTTTTGTGTACATATGTATGTATTTATATGTTACTTACTTATTTTTGATCTTACTTAAACATTTATAGATCTCATTGAATATTTTTTTTCTAATTTAATTGTACCATTTAAAATTTGCAAATGTTTATATTTATATATATATATATTTTTTGCTGTTTTGTAGTTTTTATAAAGCTAGTAGCTTTAATTAGCTATATAAGGCCCTAAGGGCTCGGTTATGTAAATGAAGAATTAAAAAAAAAAGAAGAATTAATAAAAAAAGAAAAAACCCTCACAAACACAAAACTCTATGCACACAATAACAGTCACAAATCATCTTCCACCAAAACAGTCACAAAGTAAATTCATCCAAATCAGCAATTTTGACTGAGCAATCACAACATCCTTAAACCACACAACATTCCCCATTTCAAAGCTAACAGAAATTTCCCAAAATTGGCAAACAATCTCAAAAAATTCATATCATAAATCATTCAATACTAGATAAAAAACCTATGCATATTAATTGCAATTAAAATGATATGAACCAACAACAATAAATAGGCAACCAATAAAACCACAGCAACAGTCTAAAATACTTGCATTATAACATACCTTAAAAAGAAACAAATAACAGTAATTAGTGAGTAATATGAGGGACTAATACAACATAAATCAAAATCTTATCAAAAAAAAGGTCTCACATAAAGGACACAATGAACTACAAGAAAAATACCAATTTAAGAAACCCTGCATGTTAAATAAGATAATCGGTTAAAGAAAGTAAAAGAAAATACAAACTTCCAACTTCTAATAATATAACAATAAGATATTAAAAATTATCTTGAATAAAAAAAAAAAAAAAAACAATTAAGCAGACAACACCAACAATGTTCAAAGTATTAATCCAACACAAATAATCCTCATCCAAGCAATTACAAGTAAAACACTAATGATACCTCATTTACATATACCCAGCAAATTTTTATCAGTCAACAGATATTCAATGATGCACCCACATATGAAATAACAAGTAAATGACGATTGAATATAATGCATTCAGCCAAATCCATTAAAATTTCAATACAAATATCAATAACCACATAAAACAAACCATAAACACAATTATGACAATATCAGTAATTCATTATATTGGATAATCACAAAGACAATTACTCTAGAATAGCAATAACAATATGAATGACAACACAATTCCAAGACCAATCTAAACATTCCAACCCACCAAAAACGGAATTATAGCATCAACGAATTTCCAACTGCAAAAGCAAATCAACATAGTTAATTCCTCAACATTACCAAAGTACCATGAAATGCAATAATAACACCACAACTCAGTCAAGTGATACTAATATCAAAAAGGTAATAACCAACAAAGGGAAAATGCATGTTAATATCAATAAAACATACAATATTTCAATAATGAAAATATACAACAGAATACAATCTCTAATTTCAATTATAAACAAACTCCAGCTCATTTATCAGAAGAATACAAAATGCATATATAAGTTATAGTATTACAAGACTACTACCCACTCACAGTAAACAATTCTCAAAAAATCCAGTCAAAAGACATCAACTTTACAATTGTTAAAAAATATACCTATTATACAGCAACCCTCCACTTAAAAAATGATTATCAACCATTATTTAACAGTAACAAAAAGCCTCCTAAAAATTACAAATTAATGATACTGCCAGATCATTGTCAGTTAATTCATTACAAAAACCAGTATGTAAATATAAGAACAAAACCAAAAAAAAAATTAATTCTTAATGTAGCAAAATAGAATCTCAGTCACCTGAATAAAACAAAATTAAGCGAAGAAAAACTTAAATGCCCTAGCAAAATCCCACACAACAAACCCGGCTTCCAAAGTCATAGAAAAAACAAAAAGCATAAAAAATTAACTACACCTTAAAAAAGCAGCACAAACAAGAATGAAATGTTTCCCCAACACAAAGACAAGAAAATCCAAAACTTTACAACCATACCTCCACATTACCCAAGAATACGCTATAAAGAAGCAAAAAAAAAAAAAAAAACAATTCAATAGAGTTACAGGAAACTCAATTACACATAGAATTAAAGCACATATCCCAATATATGCCATAAAATCCCCAAAGTTTTTATTTACAGAATTACATAAATACAGAAATTGATACAATTAAACAAGTCAATATAAATGACAAATTCCACAATATACAGTCAGCAAATCTCCCAAATCCAATATAAACAACAGCTAACTACACCATATTGACACAATAAAATTACCTTGTGTAGAAAACATATATATACCCAAAATCAGCGTTTCTATAAGAACATTCCACAGTTCTACTCAAACCTACAAGGATAAACTGTTTTCAGAAATTTCACGAAAAAGCCTTTTCTTATAAGTTTCAACAGAAACATCAAAATTTCTCAAAGTTTTCGATAATTTATTGTATACACGTGCCACTCTAACACAAAATGATCGCTCTAATATTGAAGTCAACTTTGGTATTTTCAACTGTCTATTTCTATTAGATTTGCAAAACTCAAACAAACTAACCAAATATTCCGGAGCACGCAGTTTACATAACTTGTAAAAGTGCAATAAATTTCTATACTTAATATAATCCATAGTTTTAGAAATAGAAATTTGCCAAACACCTCCAAAATCTTGAGTTACGGATGACAAACCGGTTTTTCGTACCTTTTTATTTATTAACTGATTATAAATCCACGTTTATTCATGAGTACAATGCAACTTTGTTTTTAAAAATCCGTTAGCAATTGACGACGTTAGTGGTATTTTTCTTAATACAAAATTGTTCAAAATTTTTGTTATACTACAATATAAAATACAAAGCCAGAACTTAAATTCTTTCAATTCCATTTTTAATTTAAAGTTATAAGATTTAAAGTTTGCCAAAGAAAAACAAACTCAACCAGTTCCAGAAATATTTAGAGGTGTATGTGTGTACAGAAATAACTAACCAAGTTTAAAAAAGTAACATAATCCTTAATGGGATCCACCTTCAGGAAAACAGTATCACTTCCCAAGTATTTTAATTTTTGTTTATTTTTTCTCACTGTGTAATTTTACTGTACAAAGTACACCTTCTGCTAACTTCTGCATTCGATTGAACATGGAGGTAAGCCTGTATTAGCATAATTTGTTTAACTTATCTTTATACGTTCTTAAATAAAAAGGTAT